ATACTTCTTTGTTTCAAAAACTCTCACGGTTGCACTTCCTACTTCGTATTGTAATTTCACTAAATTATTAAAATTTTTATGACTATACGTAACAAGCTGGTGAAATGGGCTTGAAGAAAATAAGCATTTACAAAGCATAGACGATACTGCTGTAATTTTCTTTGCTACTGATTTTATCTCCTACACAGCAGAAGAAAATGAGTTGAAAATGGCGACAAGTTAGTTGGCTCGGTATCTCAAAGACATTAATGTAAATCAATTCTAATTACCCATAGATATGTAATGTATAGACATTCCCGGCTGTACAAAAACAAAACAGCGAACTTCAGATAACAATATCGAAACAGGCAATGAATTTTGTAAATATTTAACTGAAATTAGTGAGAATTTAGCAAAATACATTTCAACTCAAATTCAACTTCTATATACGAAAACCGTATCGCAAAAATCCCTGCATCACCAGCCGATCACTACGCATTTGAAGATATCAGGAAAGGACTGGAAGCTAATAAATCACGGTGATTTGGTAACATAACCGCATAAACTCTGAAACGAGTAGAGCATATAATTTATAAATTACTGGCATACTTGCATGGAAAGAGGAACATTCCCAACTCAATTAAAGAAAGACACAATAAAACCAGTATTCAAATCTGGAGATAAACAAAAACCTTGTAATTATCGCCCAACTTATGTATTGACAAACTTTTAAAAAATTTTCGATTTTTAATTTTTATTGCAAAATAAAACTTAATCTCTGAATAGCAATACCGATTTCAGGAGGCATAGCCAACTGAGGATGCACTTATTCAGTTAACAAAAATTTACAAGTACGTTGATAGTAATAATGTCTGTTTGTAGACTTGGCTGAAGCATTCGATAGTATTACGCATCAAAAAGTATTACAAATCTTGGGAAACGGAACCACTTATCAACTCATGAAAAGTTAATTGGAAGACACACAGTGTGTAGATATTAACACAATGAGTGGAAATATTGCAGTTAGATGAACATTAACAGTACACTAAGGAAAAATAAGTTAGATGCGGAAGTCCACAAGGGACCGCATTATGCCCAATCCTGTTTAATTTGTATATTAATGACCTTTTTAAGTTGAAATGCGGAGTAGAAATAATTGGTTTTGTAGACGACATGGCACTTATTATTTAGACAAAGATTGGGCTTCTTTAAAAGGCAATATTATAATGGATTTTCAAAACGTCCTAAATTTTTTCACCGAAAAGATTTTAATAGTCAACCTGGACAAAACATTCTCTTGATACAACAGAACTTCCCCAAATTGTAATCAACGTTAAATTGAAACGTTGGATAGCTACAAAAACATACAATCAGTTGATAATTTCAAATATGTAGGGGTACTCATAGATAACCATCTACGATGAAATATGGACACTGAAAATTTAATAAGAAAATTAACATACGTTATCCCGAAAATCAACCTTTTCAGTAGTTTTCTGAGCGAAAAATATCTACACATGGTATATCATGGCCTTGTTGTCATGACCAATTATTAAAAAAAATTGAAATTATTAAAAAAAATTGAAATTACGCAGAAGTTACAGAGATTGGGTTTCTTTAAAAGGCAATATTGTATTGGATTTTCAAAACGTCCTAAATTTTTTCACCGAAAGGATTTTAATAGTTAACCTGGACAAAACATTCTCTTGATACAACAGAACTTCCCCAAATTGTAATCAACGTTAAATTGAAACGTTGGATAGCTACAAAAACATACAATCAGTTGATAATTTCAAATATGTAGGGGTACTCATTTAAGATGAAATATTGACACTGAAAATTTAACAAGAAAATTAAGATGCGTTATTCCGAAAATCAACCTTTTCAGTAGTTTTCTGAGAGAAAAATATCTACACATGGTATATCATGCCCTTGTTGTCATGACTGATTATTAAAAAAGAAATGAAATTACGCAGAAGGAGAGTTTGAAGGATAAGTTGAACAAAAAGGAATGTTGTCCCACATAAAATCTTTACAGCCAATCTCAGCTTTTCGATGCCGGAAAATATATTCTTATCATACAGTACATATAACAAAAAATCCAAAATTGTTACATTCTATATTACAATATTGCCTTTTAAAGAAACCCAATCTCTGTAACTTCTGCGTAATTTCAATTTTTTTTAATAATTTCAATTTTTTTAATAATTGGTCATGACAACAAGGCCATGATATACCATGTGTAGATATTTTTCGCTCAGAAAACTACTGAAAAGGTTGATTTTCGGGATAACGTATGTTAATTTTCTTATTAAATTTTCAGTGTCCATATTTCATCGTAGATGGTTATCTATGAGTACCCCTACATATTTGAAATTATCAACTGATTGTATGTTTTTGTAGCTATCCAACGTTTCAATTTAACGTTGATTACAATTTGGGGAAGTTGAACAAAAAGGAATGTTGTCCCACATAAAATCTTTACAGCCAATCTCAGCTTTTCGATAGCGGCATATATATTCTTATCATACAGTATATTTAACAAAAAATCCAAAATTGTTACATTCTATTAGCCAACATCCATCAATCGGGATTCAACGAAATATCTGCACTTATCCCCAGATTAAATAAAACTCAGCCAAAGATCAGCTTACTTTCTAGGCTCAAAATTTTATAATGGTATTCCTGCAAGCTTTAAACATATAAAATGTAAATAAAAGTTTAAAAACTGAATTAAACTTATGGATATAAAATCAACCAAGGGTACTAATCCATAATACATTAGAAACCAATATGTTATTTGACCATGAATTGATGCATTTGGCTAGTATTCTTACTTATAGGACATTTTTTGGTGTATTCATATAATTCAAGTTCTATTAAGACCAAGCATTTATACGGAAACTTTGTAATGTAACCAATAAATATTTCAGCTGTTAGAGGTTAGCAGAGCTCGGAAAAGCCTTCTCATGTAGATTATTGCAAAATTTCGGCACCCTGGGAACAAAGGAACGATCACACGGCCAGTTCTGGATGTCCGAATTTAGACTTAAGTCCATAACAAAATGCAGTAAGTTCAGACACTGTTTTAATTAAGAAAACTGCAACAAAGCCGAATGAACATTGGAAACGGAGAACTATATATCCGTTTCTTTGTCTCCACCCAAGGAATTACCCACCTACTGAAGGTTTGCCGGAAATCTTATCAACACACTGTGTATAAGGAATGAAGCATATGGATGTAGATATTTATCAACTAGCTCCTCTTTTCGATTGTAATAGACAACACGATTACGTAGACTAATCAATTGATTTTATTATATAATCATTTATCAGGTTTCCAGGAAAAAAACAGCATACTTGAGATAAATTTAAGTGGATTTACGCAAATGTTATATACTTGTAGTTAGTGGCAGTCTGTGATATCATTCGTTTCATTGAATACGGAGTAAGTACATATAACTTTGAATTAAGTCTATCAACTTCATTCACCAGAAGAACAAAAAATCACTGGTATAATAAGAAACCAATAGCCAACTATTAAAAAAATAAAATGTACTTGTCGATAATTAGTAAAATCGAAAATCAAGTTTAATGTTTGGTGACAGACGACTGGAATTTTCACGAACTTGGACAATAAAAATGAATGGTAGTTATGATTCTAACGCGATTCTATAATTAGGAAAAGTCAAAGTTCCTGAAAATTTCTTACTGCCAATCGAAGACAATTTGAAACTGCTGTACTTTTTCTGGAGTGATTTGCAAATCAAACTGTGTAATATAGTTTTTCAGGTATTAAAATAAGGGAATATACTGTTATATATCGATTTTTATAATTTTTCGCTATAATCTTGAAAACTGTATGACGTGACATTGAACCGAGGACGATTCTTTTCATTTTCAAGCACAGCACTACTTGATTTGAGAAATGAAATTTGTATATAACCCTCACTCCGTACAAGATAGCCAGTGATGTGGTTGAGCCTCTTGCAATCGATAATGAGTATGCCTAACATCTAGGAGATATGTAGAATTTACTAAAAGAATTATTGAATATCGTTGACGTGGTCAATTATCAAATTTATTGTTATAGTCATGGTTTGAAGTGCCACTCCATATGATGCTAAGTCACTTCTAGCCTAAGTTAGAGATATGACCGCGCAAGGGTAAATCCAGAAAATACTAGTACCTCATCTTGTCCTCAAGAAGAATTGTTTTGCCTCAGCAATCTGATACATGATTGAGGTTACAAGAATACGTCACACAGCACATGTCGACTTGAGAAGTCCTGAAGAAAACTGTTACAGTCAACTTTGGGGAAAGTGTCATCCGTATTAATATTATAAATTAGAAAGTGGATGTTTGTTACTCAAAGATGCCAAAATGGCTGAGCTGATCTGGATGAAATTTGCTATATTAATAAAGAATTCCAGAAATTGTATCATTAGGGTGGGGTAGGAAGGGGTTAAATATTCTTATGAGAAACCTTATCGCTTTTCAAGCCAAGTTTATAGAAGTTTATCTTCGAACCTAACATATTTAACTTTAGCAGCTTTGTAGATACGTGAGCCCAAGAAGACAGATACGAGTATATAGAACAGTGCTAATCACGAAATTTCGAAAACTGTTTGGCCTATCAATATAAAATTTGGCAATATAGTAGTTTATGGAACGGTAGGGCATTTACAAGTTTCTAGGCTGTAGGTGTCATTTATGAACGGATTTTGCGACAGATCCGTATTATGAGGGTTAGAGTTTGTCTAAAAATCCTTCTAGATCCCTAAGGTTGGCAATACTCCAAATATAGAGTAGACTTAAACTGAGAATGGATTCTTATACCTAGACACTATGAAGACAGGTGTTTCTTCAATGTAACGTTTGATTCAATTTCTTGTGTAAATTAAAAAAGCTCAACAATTTCAACCATCTTAAGCCTACGAAGTCGTGGGCAACATTTAGAATCCATATACAGTAGTGCGGCGCGATGGGCCAGCCTTGATCAATATTAACTGCATGCAATCTCATACATTTTTGCGACACCTTGTATATATATATCTAAGACTTACCGCTTCTAGCTGGGACCCTTGGTTGACATTAGTCTCAAAATTCCATTGAGCCGCCACGTTACTGGTGCACTGTTGTGACGCTTGTAAGTCAAGCGCTTGCAAAAGACCCCTAATGTCACTGTTCACCCTGTTTCTCCTATTAAAATCATCCTCAGGGCGTCCTTGAAAACCCCTGCCGTCATCTTGGAACCTTCTACCGCCATCGTAGGGCCTTTGCGGTTGGTCCACATTGTAGTAGGGGGTATTTGTCCTGTTTTGATAAAGGGTCTGACTTACAATACTACAATTTGTTAGTTTTGCTGACACCGTGTGGTAGAGTGCTTCAAAAGCAAAAAACTTGGCCAAAAGTCAAAGCAAAATGTTTTGCGTTTGACTCCAGATTTTTTTTACAGTTATAGGGATGCATTACTCATCCTTCGACATAATTTAAATGACTCTGCATGAGGAATTATGGTGAGGTAAATGTCTCTCAAACGCTAAAATGAACCTCGTGTCAAAAAAGTTTATAATTGTTTACCGAAACTTTTCAAAATAACCAGCTGTATTGAGATGCAGTAATCTAAATGTGGTATTGTATTGCTTACCAAATGACACATGACATGAAGCAACAATATGTGATCGATAACTTTTCTATAATTCATAATGTAGAATTAGTCAATTCAAAAAGAGTTCAGAATAAACGTCAAGTACATTCCGCTCTACTTTGTATAGTCGCACGTTTATTAGACACCCACTTAAAAAATATGTAAATTTTGGCTGCAGCTGACTGCAGCTTAAACAATTAGGAGACACTATACAGAAATTTCCAAGATATATAAAACATATTATGTTTGCCATATTGGATCCACCCTTTTGATTTTTGGTGGTTCGATACTAAATGCGTTATCAGCGACACTTAAAATATGCAAGTATCAAATTCGAGAGCAATCAAAACATTTGCAAACATGTCCACCAGCTTGAATCCGACATTTTTTTTCTTCGAAAAACATATTTTTTTTTTGTAAATAGGTCAGACGTTTTGATTATTGACAACTGGATATAATATTCGTTATCAGTGGCATCGAAAACATGTGTTTTTGGGTGGATTTTAGTGAATCTTTCTGTTTTTGGCCATGTTTTAGTACTTTTGCCACTGTGCGTGAGAATACAACGTTACGTAACCAATAAGCTTCATTCAAAAATCTGAAACCTTTTTGCAGATACAAATCCTATTACAACTACGGGCCAATTATGGTTTGACGATAATTTTTTTCAAAGTAGCTGATTCGATATGTCAATATGTGCTAGTCGGGCTGGGTGCGGATGACAATATTGAAAATTTTTGAAAATTCAAATATTTTAAGGCTTTAATAAATTTGAGAATTTTAAAATATTTAAAATTTCTTACACTTTAGTAATTTTGCCAATTTGAAATTTTTGGTAGCTTCGAAACTTTTGAAAATGTCAAAAATCAAGCATTTTAAAATGTTTTGAAAATGTTCCAAATTTTGAGTACCGATTCAGTAATAATCTCTCCTTATATTTTAAATAAGCAATGCCGCTCCATTGAGGAACATTCAGTGGAGAGTCTATTATAATTATATACTGTAAAAGCTGCATGATTTATGATACTTCAAAAATTTTCAAAACTACCAAAATTTTGAAATTACCAAACATTTCAAAATTGTCAAAATATTCCAAATTTGTAAGGTTATTAAAACTTCAAAAACACTCGAACAGTCCAAAATTTCCAATAAGGTCAAAATTTTTTGTTATTTTAAAGATTTTAAAAGTCCTCCTCCTCTCCTCTCATCAATATTTTCCAAATTTTCAGAATCATCAATGTTCTAAGAATTTCGAAAACTGTTTTTTTTTAAATTTGTAGATATAAAACATTTGAAATGTTAAATCGACCCTTGAAGGTTTTTCAAAGAAGCGTTATTCTGTTTAAAATCGAAAAGATCATTCCTCAATTCTTAAAGAACGTCTATAAATGTGACCCTTAGACACTTGACAGCTTCAAATGGAATCGTTTTCAACCAAGTTTTAAGTATTTTTCAGATTCTACATTGCATAAAACTCGAAATAAGTCGACTTTAGGTAGGAGTTATCAAATAGTTTTTTTGAAGAAAGCTTTCTTTGTAACTTGTTTCTTTTATGAATGTTGGGCTTCCAGCTCGTCTATATGCCTCTGAATAAAAATCCCTATAATCTACCTGTCATAAGGCACGTTATTCCTATCATAGGGCACATTGTTCCTATCATAGGGCACATTATTTCTATCTACTGGCACATTATTTCTATCAAAGGGCACATTGTTTCTGTCATAGGGAACATTATCATTGTTTCTATCAAACGGCCTAGCAGTTGAACTGATACCGGGATAGTTCCGATCAGGATTCGGCACAAACTGGGGGTAGTTCACTTGACCAAGTACCACTCCGAAGAACGTCAAAGGAACCACCACAAGCACTAATTTCCTATTGGCACTGATATCGCACATGTTGTTTGTCTGTCGGTATGTCGCGGTGTGATAGCGTTAACCGCCGGTGCACAATGGGTTATCTTTGAATGGGAACGGGTACTACCGTGGGAAAGAATGGGGAAGGGGAACATGACTGAGTAGCGACCTACGACTGATGATTAGTTTGTATGTTAATTGGTGACGAAGTGTTTATGAGGTTTGTAAGGTTGGCTTTAGAGTATATCGGTATGTGTCCAAGGTTTGCAAGTAGCTTTGTCTAAACTTGGCAGAAATAATTTATTTGCAACGTACAGATCGAGTAAATAGTACATTGCTGCAAAATATGTATGTTGTATGAGAAAGATCTACAAAAATAAGAGGTTTGATGTGGAAAGTGATATGTAGCCCTAAAATTGCAAATTTAAATTACGAACATCAGTGCTTGAATAAATATGGTGGTTGCTTGCTGAAAAAGATATAGATTCACTTCTTCTTTTGATAGGAAAAGTGGGCTCAATAAAGTCTTTCAATCTGCCCAATAACATAAGATATGATTTGCTAGCATTAATATTGCTGAGTATCGTCAGCATACATATGCACCTGACAATTTCGGAGACCCTGGAAAAGGAGAGATAAGTACTAAAAATCAGAGGATCTAAAGTGGAGCCCTGTGGTATACCTGATTGGGATATCTTTGGAGGAGTGCCATACATCTCTTTCTACGTATTGTATTGTTCTGTTGGTTAAATAGTGACACATAAGCGTGATAGCAGAGTCTGAAAACTATATATATATATATATATATATATATATATATATATATATTTACGTGTGTGTGTGTGTGTGTGTGTGTGTGTGTGTGTGTGTGTGTGTGTGTGTGTGTGTGTGTGTGTGTGTGTGTGTGTGTGTGTGTGTGTATATGTAAAATACCGGACATTTCACGATTTAGTTTATCAAACGCTTTGGAGTGATCCAAGAGCACAAGAAAAATGGTTTTTTAAGAATCTGTTGCTTCGAAGACGTCAGTTCTTTTTAACAGTGCAATTTCGCAAATGAAACCCATCGTAGGTCCTGATTGATAGTCTAGTAATAAATTGTTGTTAGCTAAACAATCTCTTATTTGTCGGCCCAATATAATCTCGAAAGATTTTGATAACACTAGTAAAAGCACTGATCTTGCACAATAAATGCAATTATATCAAATCAGTCATGAAGGCAAAGCCTAAATATAGGGTTTCACATTCTATAGGGTTTCACATTCTGGTCCATATTTGTTTATATTCAAAATACGGCCGGAGGTACCATTGTGGGAAATAATGGGGAAAGGTAACATCGCTGAGTAGCGATCTACGACTCATGATTAGTTTGTATGTTAATTAGTGACGAAGTGTTAATCCGGTTTGTAAGGTTGGGTTCCGATTATGTTGGTCTGCATCCAAGATTTGCATGTCAACCAATTGAGGTGGCTTTGTTTTGGCGGAAAAAATAAATATCTTTGTACTGAAACAGCCATGACGGCGGAAGCAATATATATGGTTAAGGTGAATGGAAATTGAGTTTTAGATGTTTTTTGTCGGATACATGACACGTAGTAAAGTAGGTGTTTTGAAAAAATGAGTATACACTAGCACTATGGCACTCATTTCCGTCGGTCTCTCTGTCTCTGTCGGTTGATCTTATGTTATAGAATCGTGTCTGATACATATGGTGTCATTGACTGTTTTGGTCCAGCAGCGTCGCCTGATGGTCGGTACTTAGGGAAGGTGAGAAACTATAGCGTTAGCGTTATCATATAGATGAGGACTATAAACGATCTAAATGAATATGGGCCTGTTTGGCTTGCTTGGCCCATTTAATTTGTTTGTTTTACAACTCAAAGGGACTAACTTGGGCAGAACATTATCCTTTCTGAACTGATGACAGCGTTTTGTGGGGAGTACAAAGTCAACCTTCATGCCATTTTCCACAATTCTCAACCCCCAGTCCCCCTTGTCCGCAAAAAAAAGCAAATCTGTTACCCCCTCCCTACCATGCTTTCGTAATTATTATGGTACGTTTTACAATTCCAAGCAAGTTCTGAATATCATTTAATGTCTAGAAAATCATCATACGAATCATTCTAAATGTTCAATAATGAGATGCAAAATGAGGTATCAAACCAGCCAGTTCCCAAGTTATAACAGTCATTCTGCATTTTACTATACACATATCTACTAGGAGCATTTGTAGCTAAGCAAGTAATCAGATCCCTATTTGAAAAATCCCCGAAGATGCGCTTTTCTTTCGAGCATTGACAAGTAGAGTTGCCATTATGTGTTCAATTCAAAATCAACTAAATTTTGTAGGAAATTCGAAACTGTAAAAAAATAAAAGTTGTTGACGTAATCACCATCTAGACATCTTTTCATGTCCATTTAAATTGTTTTGTAACCTTTCCATTGTGTAAATGCTTCCGAAGTCATCGAAACTATTCTAGAATGTGACTTTTAGTTTCATTACAAGAAAATAATTCCATATGAAAATGTGTCGAAAGTTAGTCCAAAGCATTCCGGGGAATCGTTTTTATCAAACGCCACCGGTTGTCCATGAATTTGCTACTCTTATTTCAAAGAATAATTCAAAATATAATAGGTTTTGTTCCTTTTGCACTTCTTGCGCATTTGCATTACTTTAAAAAAATAGGAAATAGTCAATTTTGAAAATGACAGACTACATTAGAGGGTGTTGTTTCAAAAATATATCTTTTTTCGCAAAATTAATTAATTAGATAGATAGACAGATACTTTATTGATTCTGTAAGATCATCATGGGATGACATAGAAGCCATAGACAGTCTTTCCCTGCCCTACCGGTAGTTACCGTTCATCTGACAACGTTGCCCGTTCTCATACCATCAGACCACCGAAGCCTCGCCGCAGTTCGAGCAAAACAATTAAGCAGAACGTTACACCAGTCGCTGAGCCCAGATAGCAGAAGGAGACAGGTATAAAAAACAAAAATGTGTCAAAATGTCATGAAGATCCAAGAAGTAGTACTTTCCAAATTATAGAGGAGCCAAGTATTACCAAACACACCGACAGTCATATAACATCGAAGGAATATAATATCTCATTTTCGATTTTTTCCCAGTGGCGTGAAAACGTACATAAAATGAATGAGCAAATAATATCAATAAATGACACAACAATAAACAAGTACTGAAATATAACAATACACAAATATTGAATTAAAATAAACACGAAGTAGGTATACCTGTATATAGTTTATCACTGGCTATAACTGTAGTCACCGTTCTTGGCGGTTACGTCATCAACGCCATATGAAATAAGTAAACAGATCGAGTGACCGTACCATGGGCGGATCTTAATTTTCCTAACTGAGAGAAACCGATTCAAAATTATTTACTAATCGCAATTCTCGAAAATCTTTTAATCTAGTACATAAACATGGGTACAGTCTGACACACCATTTGATGTTTTTTAAAGCTTAAATAAAAAATACATACGGAATTTCTGTTTTGACAGCATCACTTACATCTTCGGTATTGCATTTTTTGATTTTGTGAGTTTCCCCAGATGATACCATAGGGAAACTTGTCTTATTTTCAGATTTTATTCGCTGAACACTGCGCAGGCTGATCTTCAGCGCACCTGCTACTCTCTCCAGTACGCATAAAGTGGGTAACAGGGGACCGCTGTTTTCATTTTCTTCCTGGAAATACTCTAATAAATTTAGCACGAGCTGTCGGCCTTCTCCATTTATCGTATATCCGGGCATTGTACAATTTTATATTGAAGATTGATAACAGGAGAACTCAAATTGCACGCCGATGTCAAGTAGGTTGTTACTCTGACAAATATGATTGAAGGGCACTCATACGTAACGAGTTTTCGAGACGGAGACACACAAATAAAAAACCTATGTCTTCGAGCTTACCGAACATACGTTCACACATAGGGGTAGGTTGCATGTGCTTGTATGAGGGAGATGGAGATATATAAAGGGATACCTACTGCTAGTCTTACTTTGACCTGCCAAGAACGGTGGCTACAACTATATAGATGAAAAGATTTTTCCGTTTAAAATATGTATGTGTATATAAATAGATCAAATAGACAAAATAGAACAAAACATGATTAGCTAAAATGAGAAAAAAAGGTAACAGATAAAACTGAGGCGTAAGCACAGTCGTCACTATCACACATATTAATCGTTTATCATCATATCTGGCAAGTATTCATCCAAAGAATAAGATGCTTTATTTCTTAACAGCCCCTTGAGTTCAAGCTCAAATAAATGGCAAAAATAACCTCAGTCTGATCAGGTAACGAACACGAAAGTGCTTCAGTAGCAACTTCCTGAGCATCTAAAAAATGTTAATTTTCGAAGTGTAATGCTGCAAACTCCATAATCTCTATTGGTGTTTTTTACTCTACGAGTATTATCAAATAATGTGTGATTTGTTATTCTTGATTATGCAAGCACAAGGCATGTATTCCCATTCTCCTTCAACAATGACCAACACTCTACCAGCTCGTATAGTTTATTTAAAAAAATATAATGACAAATTGAGATCACCTTGTACACATCTTCCATAAAATATAAAAACAATCATTAATAATGAGTCTTATGGTAACAGTGATTCACATTGATATCAATTACGTATAATTTTGCGACCGTCGCTATATAAACGTTCATATTTTTTCAGTACGTGATCCATAATTACACATTTACTGAGGTTCAAGGCTAAGGTAACCAACCTGTCATTTTTATTTTTAGTTGCTTATAATGAACAGGAAGAGGCTTAAAATGTGCATCGAGACATTTTAGAGATTATTGCAGCACTTCTGCTGACCGCTTTGCAGGTACTCATTTTTTTTATAGATATTGTTGACAGTAGGCCACGTTTTTGGTGCATGTATATAAAGGTTATACACTGAGAACCAAATTTGTCTGACGGCTTGAGTTCAATGTGTACGAGAGAGAAGTGTGTATAGACACATATGTTAGAGAAAGATGGAAGCCGCCTGGATAACAAAACAGTTCCTGGAATTAAGATGCATATTAAAAATATGCGTTAGTTCAGTTCAAAGAATAATCTTTACGCCCAAATAATGGTTTTATTTTGAGCATAGACATTTTTTAATTGTGAACTGTGTTGAATCTGCTTAGGATTGATTCCCGCACGTATATTA